TTTCAGTTTCATCAAGGAATCGCTCTTACACAGCTCCAGAATTGTACTCAAGACACAACAAACCCCTTGGAAGTGAGGGAACTCTAGAAAAGGTATTCAATATATATTATTGTTCCCCTAATCAAATAGATATTTTTTTGCTGTTTATAATTTAAATGTGTACACGTTAACATACTTACTTGATCCTTGTATAATAACTTAGAACCTAGTTTTTCCTCAATCTCTTTTTTTTTGTCACAGCGGAAATGAAACGTTTTGCTTGCTCTACAGTAGCACAGTTTTAATAGTTCTGTTTTAATATTTTTTATTTAAAAAAGTTTTTAAATTTTTGATGCGTGTTTCAAGATAGAATTGTTACTGTGTAACAATAGCTGTAACTGTAACTTGTTTTGTCACTGCTCATCATAATCAGCCCTGTTAAAATGTACTGGCAGGCTGTAATCTGGCAGCCTACAGTTATCTGGTGAAGGAAAGTCAGTTAAGATCCAAATCTGAAAGAACCTAAGTTAAGGCCAGTCTGACGATGCAAAATTACTGTGCTTGTGAATTAAATTCTGGGCCTTTGACATGTGTCTGAACTCAGTGCTTGTGCACAAGATTGTTAAATGTACCTCAAACTCTTCCTCCAAACATACTACTGTACATGTATGTACAATACATGCAAACCATTCCTCAAGAAAAGATGTACTATTCTAAAAGTGGTTTGCTATGTTTAACAGATCTGTATATACTCACTGGGAATGACACTATATCATGCAGCAGAGTATGAAATCCCTGTTGGAAAGGTGAGAAATGTTTGTAAATGTACTCTAGTATTACCTTTTTATTTCAAGAGACATTGTTCTTCTTAAGTAGTGGTCGCCATGCTTTTTTCCCCTTACAGTTCTAGTACCTGCGTAGTATGATTAGTCGACCTTTGCAGTTGGAGTCCATTTCACATGTGTTTTGATTTTAAACTTCTTTAAATTTACAGCCAGTTAATTTGAGTGAAAATCTAGAAAATGTACTTCTTTCCATGTGCGAAGAAAGTTCTCAGTTACGGACCTCCCTTACAAAAGTTCTGGAGGTAAGTTATCTGCATTCCTTTTCTTTTGTCTTTAAATTATTACAATAGGTATTTTTCACTGTTTATGTTGGTGTTTCAGTCTATATTTGTGTAACAAAGGTCCAAGACCAGACTCTTTTTCCAAAAAGCATTTTTATCAAGATTTTTGTCTTTGTGCATAGATGTGCCATGGACATCGTAAAAGGCGACGTTTCGGTGACATCATTACATCCATGGTTACTGCTGTTTTGGGAGATGATGTACCAGATGTAAGTTGACTCTTTAATCAGTGTTTGATAACCACGACTGATCCTATCTCTGAATGTAACAAAGTTAATTGATGTTGTACATGTAATTGGGTGAAGGGGGGAGAGGTAAGGGGACCTAATGATTGACTTGTTTGACTCCTGATCAAGTAGTCTGGGTTTGAGTTCACTACTGGGTTGCTGGACAGGACACTACATTCTCAACATCCCTCACTTCATCCAGGTCAGGTACTGTAATAAAAACTAAGGAAACCTGATAAAGTAGTGTTAGTAACTTTACTATCTTTACATTATTGATTATGTTGTCTGTTGCAGAATGAAGAAGAAGATTACAGTTTTGATGAAGAAACAGTGCATGTTGATAACTCTGAGTTCATAAATGGAGAGGTATGATTTGACCATGGGATTGAGTCCCATTACATGCATCTTCTTATCAAACAACCACAAGATACTGAGTCTTTGTTTTCATATCTGTTGTGAATGCTCAATGTAATGTGGTGATCAGAGTTTCTTAGCTGTTGTACAAGTTTCTGCTCACTTGTGGAATGATATGGCTTGATATGGCCAGCCATGTACGAGAAGTAACCATGATATGGTTAATACTCTACTCCCTATAGGAGCCATCACTGATAACTGATTTAGCCAGCCCTCGAAGCTTGCCTCCACCCCCACCCTCAAGGATCAGCACACAAGGTCAACCAACATCAGAAGAATTGGTAGGGTCAAATTATCGTCGATCAGGCTCACCAACTGAGTTGGCCTTGACACCTCCTAGTAAGCAGCCTCATATTCCTCATGTGCTAGGTGAGTTCACGTTAAGAATAAGATGACACATTTTAAGTGTCATGGATGTTCAAATTTTCGTAATAATTTGGGTCAATTCTTGTCAGTCTTGTGATGTAGATTCAGTGAAATCTTAATCGCTTCTCCAGTCTATCCTAAGTTTGTTGACTTTGTTCACAGTTGTGACAGATCGATTATTATTTTAAGCATGTCATTAGCAGCATTACCAGGGTCACATGTAATGAGCAATGTTGGAGGTCTGTTGAAAGTTTGTCCTGTTTGTGGGATGGATTGTTATCCATTTAATTTTTTCCTGCCTACAGTGTATCATCGATAATGAATTTTTGATGCAAGGTATTGTGACATACATACATGTATACATGTATGTGTCATCATCTGTCTTTGCTGCGCCATGGGATGCGTAAGGCGTTAGGACGTATGTGTAGTGCCAAGTTATCAAGAAGTCACTTTGTAAATTTAATTTGTAATCCTTGTATTATTGATTTCTTAATTTTATGATAGATAAATACAAGGATCATCTGCAAAGGGCAAGAAGAGACAGAAGTCGAAAATCTTCCCCTTCAAACATATCAAATGTTTTGACAAGCATTGACCAATCAGAGCCAAGCTCTTATGACCAATCAAAACCTGTCACTCATGACCGGACATGGCCTAGGACACGTGATCAGTCAAGGCC